GTGGGGGGGCAGGGGGGATATGGATAAAAATATATACAAACACACATGTATATACTCAGTTGCAGTGCCCCAGTTTAGTTTTCTAAGTCTATTAGGTTTTCACAGATTTGTGTATTTTAAAACATCTGTATCACTTTCGCTGCTATTTTTTGGTATGAAGAACCATTCAAATTACAGAATTCCATAAAAGCAACAAATGCAGATGTAAAAAAAAAAAAGAGTAATAAGTCTAATCCCACTAACTGAATATAACTGAGAAAGCCCAACTTAAATCAACATTGCTTTAGCTTCTCATATATTCGTCACTATATTTATCCCAAGATCTTCCCACATTTTCAAGAGAATGTATTACATCTCTTCTTCAAGAAGTTTTAGCACTACTCTTGTAAGATCTAAGTTACTGTCTTGTTAGCCTCTTTCAAAGCAGCTTCTTTCCTATCTTTAAACAGATCTAATGTGTATTCTCAGAAAAAAAAAGGCAAAGTTGGCAAAACAGTATTTTTATTTCAAATAAAGATAAGTTGCAGTTACAAAATGATGGATCCCCCTGCATAATTCTAGATAGATATGAGCAGAAGAATGAGCAAAGATTTATATTGAAGTAAGCAACTTTCCTATAGGAACCACCAACGTTTCATTTTCTCGGCATTAGTACTCATACAATGACTGTGCCTGAATTAACTATATTTAACAAGAAACACAGTTTAAAAGTTTACCAGGCATTTACAAAGCATTTACACATGCATATGTAAAAAATGCATATATATATTTATTTCACAGATTTTTAACTTACCATTCTCAGCTGTCACTTTTGGTTTTGGCCCAGGAGTAACCATGATTTCCCTGGATGTAATTTCTGGTACATTCACTTCATGATTATCTTTTTTAACCAACCTGAACACCAAAATCCTCAATTAGCTCTCAAGTAATATAAAGAAACCACAATTAAAGGAATACTGTCAACCTGATCACTTTTCTAGTATTTGCTCATCAACATGCAAGTCAAAAATTCATTCCCTCAAAGACTATTTTTTCATAATTTTTCATCTAGGATTCTACTGCAGCAATTTGTATCATGCAAGTATTCATTCCATCCACAAATTACCAAAAACACTAAGATTTCAATCCAATGCATAAAAAAACCAAAACACAAACCAAACAAAACCTGACAAAAACAAACAAAAAAAAGGTGTCCAGGGTAGGATCAATTTTCTTTGTCCCAGATGCTCAATTCTGTGTTAGGGGTACAGTCTATTTTATTTTGAATTACCTGTTGCCTAGAAAATTCTAAACAACAAGAGGAAATATTTTTGGTTCTTAACCTACTACCATTATTGTGAACACTAGAAGACTTTTAATTAATTTTTTAAGTTTGAATAATATTACCTATGTTAATCACTAGCTGACTTCAGAGTAAAAAGCCATTTAATATCAATTTCACAAAACTTGAAACTGAAATTTTAAAAATTATTTCTTCATATTTAAGATATTCTAGTGGAATAAGGATGTAGGCAGTTAAGAGACAATACCAGACAAAAAGTGGAAGCTTACCTGAACTCTACACAAAAGTGTGTCTATAAGAAAATTATTTTACATGTTTAAAAAGTTATCTTAACTATGAGAACCAGATACAGAGCTTCTCCACAAAAAGCCTAAGCTTAAAAAAAAAAAAAAAATCCTTTTGAGGCAGGATATTTTACTTAGATTAACAATCTCAAATTTTTAGTTAAAAGTAATTTTTCAAGTCAGTTTTGCCTTAGAAGTGTTATAGAGACCTGAAACCATGATTTTTAGTTTTTACAGGGGATAAAAACAACTATAACAAGAAACACTTCTGTACAGATGTTCCCCCCCCCTTCTTTCCTAATTACTTTTGGTTTCAGTTTTATAGTAGGCGCACTCAAGTATATTGTTCTTTTCACCTGCTTCAAAACTGAAAACCTGAAAAACAAAGTTGAGGGAGTTGAGGTCTACTAAATATTTTTAAGAACTTTGAGATTAATTTTTAAAGTGGTTTTCACAGAATGCACAGCTACTAGACAGATTTCAGCTAGGTACAAGACCTGGCTGGCTGGCACAAGCAAGGAATATGAAAGGGCAGGGCTGTTTCCAAGAACGTCAGAATTGTTTACCTATCTTTGTACCTGGAAATTACAGATATAAGGCTAGCTCATATTTACTAGGGTTTTTTTGCTTATCTGATCCTCAGAGAAGAGATTCTGCGCGTTATCCAGTGGCGGGGGGGAATCTTTCTATTATTATTATTTTAAATTTGCTGGCTTAGCGTTCTGCCCGTTTAACATGCTGATCCTTCTCACTAAGAACTGAGATAAGTGCTTTTTGGAGGTAACAGGCTGTTTAATCGTTTCAACCTTTCCGATCAAACCACAAGCTAACTCTAACTTAATGTTGCCAAATAAATAAAACAAATAAGCTAAAAGACAGTTACACAACATTTTAACTCTAATGACTTAATGCCAGAGCCTCTCACATATGCCACTAATTCTGAATCCATACACGGCTTTAACTTTAGTCACAGATAGCGCGTGTCCATCTGTTTTGGTCATTAATAATGATGATGTGTTAAAGAACAATCATGCTGTAACTAATTCTCAATAGAATTTTAATATTATCATTAGGGGTATGGAAGACTGATAGTGTGATTTTTTTTAATTATATATAAATATTGCAAGTGGTCTGTCTAATTGTTTCACTAGAAACCACAGAAATAGAAACTGCATTTCTGTATGTATCCATTTTTAAATTATTCATAATTAAAAGTGAAGATCACATTTAAAACAGTTCTCATTAAATAGGAAAAATAGTACAAACCCACAAAAAATTACAGATATCAAAAGAATTTAAATTGTGCTATAAGCTGAAACTATTTTCAAAATATTATTTGGAGAAGGAATGATTTTTGAGTTAGTGTCTTTCCGGAGCCAGTAACAGTTTTCCTGTTATTACAATTGCAATATTATAAAGCTTTATCAACATTATAGTATTTACATAACCATTCCCAAGGAGAGATCCCAAAACTATTTAAAAGAAAATGTATCTTTTCACTTTCACTTTTCCTCCCAGTAATCTTGAAGTTTAAAAAAACAAAAAGCAAACACCACTCAAAATTTAACCATTGCAGCAAACTGGATCTTTGGGGGACAAAGTCACTTAAGTTGGCGTGGTTCTGAAGAACTTCACATCTGTGCCTATATTGCAAATATCATGGATTAAAAAAAAAAAAGTTGAATGATTATTTCCCCAATTTATTTTGGTTCTTGTTTTTTTGAATAATTTCTCCAAATACCAAATATTTAGCTGCAGAACAGTTTGTTTCTTTTAAATACTATCAACTTTTAAAATTGAACATATTGCTAATACTAACTATAAAAACATGATCCAACTACCTTTAGATAGACAGAAAAATACTTCTAGTGCTAAGGTGTTCTACACCTCACTGCTGCAAATTATTTTCTTTAATTTTAATTAGAACAGTAAAAATCTGGAGAGGTTGTTTCAACAGAAGACTGGAGGAAAAAGAGCTAAGTGTTTGTAACATGTGGCTAGATAATGTAAGAGATAATACACTGTTTCTACAATGAGCCATTTACTGAATATCTACTGCAGACATGTCCTCAAATGCAAATCTAAGGTTAAGAAAACAAAAGATCACAGATACACTGCGCATTTTCCCATTGTAAATAGATTGTATATGGAAGATTCTTATCGTGGGGCAGTCACGGAGTATATCAGAGATGTGTTTCAGGGCAGCATTTGGCACTGCAAAGGGGACATGAAGAGACATAGAGTTGCATAAAAACACAGGACTAACCTGCTGGTAGATTATCACCTGCTTGAAGAAAAAGAGAAGGGCAATTGCAGCAAGAAATTAGTACAGCAAGAATAAACTACAGAAAATGTAGTATAGAAACAATCTGAACTTAAATAATTTACTCACTTCTTGCTTGTTTGAGCAGTTTTACGAATAAGCGACATCGTATAATCTTCATTCATACACACGGTATGTTCACTAATGCCAAAGTGTTCAAGTTTTGGTGTTACACACTCATAATCGTCCATCTTTAGCTTACATTTTGGTGTTTTGGGCAAAATACAGGGGGTCTGTGTTTTTAGTGGAGTCCTGTTCTTTGCATTTTCTTGATACGCATTTGTTGTGTGTTGTCGTTTCACGGCACTCCAAGGCCTGGAGAAAGCATATTGTGAAAGACCAAAATCAGAAAGCTGGGGGTTTCGCAGCGGGTCTTTGGGCACCAGTGGCTTCTCAGTAGAAGGAAGATGAGGTACGTCATCTGCTTTTTCTTCATCAGATTTATTCTGGACAGACACCATTGAATCACTGTTAACTTCTTCCTCCTCTTCTGTTTGTGAACAGTAATAATAAAAAAATGTCAGAAGTTTCTGTTTTAAGAGTTTATAAAATAAATTGGGACTTTCCCCCCAATTCAAAATTTTTTATTTATTATTGTAAAAAATAGATTCCTTGTTTCATTTGAAAGCACTGAACCTGAAGCTACAACAGATATCAAAAGCTCGTATCAGGCTAAGCTATATTTATAATGCAGGTCACACATTTACTGAATTTTACTCCATTGGTAAATATTTCTAGGAAAAATGAAATCGAAAGATTTTTACACAGGTGTATTTTTAATAGAATTCATCTCCCTGCATGAAGCAGGGCAGGAAGCGCTAATCTTAAACATATTTATTTGTTTTTATTTCAGTGCAAAATGGAAAGTTCATTAAAAATGTACAACATAAATGACAAAGAAAACAAAATTTGTATGGAACTGGAAATGTTTTTGAGGAAAGAGCAAAGGCTGCACACAGTACTAGAATGATCATTCTTCAGAAAAACAGTATTGAAGAAAGATTATGAAGCAGCAACTAAAAATTCAACAAAGAGAGTAGCTTTTTAGATAAGAAGAATCCAGTGCAAAAATAAGCAAACCTGTAATTTGTACATTTCTGTAGTTAAGCTGAAACACCCCAAAATATTTGTGAATTTCTGCATGACGTAAGCAGTGAGGGGCGGGAGAGGAAGATATTTAAAATAATACGGCAGGGGCATTACCTTTTTATGTGTACCGGTATTACATAGTCAGAGACACTTAGCTTAAAAATACATCTTAAAAAACAAATTAACCTTGTAGCTCTGATTGGAGTCTTCTTTAAAGGCTGAGAGAGGACAGGAAGGAAGGTACTGTAAAATTAGAGCCTTCTGCCATATCTTTGTAAAACAGTTGTAGTAGCTTAATTCAGAGGTGAATATGGTCCACAACCACAATTTGGTTTTGCATAATGACTGGATAATGCTCAGAGGAAGGTTAATTGTGCCCTGCCAAAGGCATCTTGAAGATTAATTTGGCCCTTGATACCAAAAGGGGTATGTGTAGTACTGACAGCTGTAGTATTTTAAACTCATTTGGCATATCTGGATTTTTCACGCAAGCATGAATGCACGCACTTTGACTGGATTAAGGATATCTCTCCCCCCGGCCACAATCAGGCTACTACTGCTTGCCATGTGTCACCTAATCCCCGTATGCGCTTCTCTATGCTACGGAGCACATTAAGTTTTTCTCCATGGTGATTTAAGTTAATGGAATCATCACATATCAATATGAAGTAATTTAGATGCACCTACAAATTTCCCATACATGAGAAGCTGAAGCAGCATAATTCTCTGGGCCATGAAAACACATTTGCCAACATGTTGGGGGGGGGGGGGGGAAGACCCACCTACTAACTTAAAAACTTGCCAGGAGATCTAACTCTAAGTTTTTGTATTTTGGTTGGCACCAATCACGACAGAATCTTTTACCCTCTGGGTATTATTATAAAGCAAACAACACAGATGTACTTGATCTCTTAATTAATAGAAATATACACATAGCTAAAGAGAAACATTTTAGAAAATTACACTTGTCTTCAAATACTGTATTGACAAGAAATATTACCTTTAGAGTCTTTGACACGTGGTTTGTAGCCGTATTTCTGGAACAACTCTCTTATTTTTCCAAGATCTGCTGCATTTCTTTGCATCAATATTTCACTTGCCTTCATAAACTCATGAATTGCTTGTTTTTCAGAGCGACTCTTACCAAGACTCGCATTAACATCTTCCTTTGGGGGCAGAGCAGGGGGAGGGAAACACAGAAATAATGTTTTTCAAACCACCACATGGTAGTTGTTTACACGTGAAGTATTTTGGGAATAAGTACTGAACTTCAATTCAGATGAGGATAAGTAGCAAATTTAGGCTGTATCTATACCTGAAAACTAGGTTACAAAATATCAGGAATATATAGGGCATGAATGTACAAAAACTTAGAGAAGTTAAACCAAGATGACAGCTCGCAGTATGATAACTGCTTACTGGTAACATCTCAAACAAAAATACATGCTTTTACTCCATAAAACTATGAGATAACAGCAATTATTTTGGACACTTACTTCCCAGGTACAAAGAATTAGTGCAGAGCTGAGGGTAAACCTCAAGTTTATATCCTATCTTACCTCTCAATTATTTCTGCAGTTGCTTATTTCTATAGCTCATTTTTCCTACTTCTATTAAAGAAATTCTTCACAAGTTGAAATGGCTGAAGGTATTGAAACATCTCTGAAGCTTTTCTTTATTCGAAGCACTAGTCATTGAACACAAACAAGCATACCTCTTCTCTAGGGAGCTGCTGCTCCTGAATCCTTCTCCCCTATACCTACGACTTGGCACAGCTACAACTTCTGTTACCTTTGTCCCCTGCTAATCTGAGCAACAACAGTGATTGCAACCTAACAAATACTGCTAAATCTACTTTAAGTCACCTAAAAGTTTTTGGGCACTACCCCGACGTGCACAGCCATTATGAGGAATAAAATAAGTGTCAAAACTGCTGAATAACAAAATTGTATTTTGGCTTAATGATGAAAATAGAACCATAAGCTTATAGAACATCCTCCTCCTCCCTAATTTTTCAAGAAGGAAGTGAGTTACAATGTTACCTTCAGAGTCCTGATTTCACAATGGAGGTCATATAAGACTCTTACTGGAGATTCATCTTCATAGTCTTTGATACGCATGTTCACATAAAAGGGTTTGGAAAGAAAAAAGGGGGGTGAGTATTTTAGCATGCAAGTACATTCTACATCAGAATGTAATCTCTGCTATCAGAGGCGTTGGAGTCATACATTAAAGAGAGAGAGAGTCAAGACAGAGAAAGCCAAAGAGAAACTAGTTCACATCAGGTACCTTGCATAGCATGAGACTGCAATTCCCACAGTATGTGAAACTACACAGAAAAAGTGTACAGGCTTCCATTTTACTGTTGCAGCTAATACTGTAAAAATGAACATACATCAGATGTTGGTGCAATAGGTTGGTCCCTAGGCTATCTAGGATTATTTATGAAAAATTTTTATTCTTAAAGAGTTTGAACTTGAAATAATAAAACTGGAAATAAAGTGTTATAGACACCACTGAAAAACATCCATCAACAGAAATGCTGAATTTTTCTGCCTTGTTTGCACATGGAAAGATGTTAGTATTGTTCACTTACACATGCAGCAGTCATTACTTTTTTCGCTAGAAATCGAGGTTAATGCAAAGAATGTAAAAGAGGACACCTGCTATATGACAAGCAATAAATCCAATTAGAAGCTTGAGCTATCTGTGCACAGAGAACAAACCCTGCACATGCGTTTTCTTGTCTCAATCACTAGAAGACTAAAAGCAAGAATGTGATTCCCCATTCATCCCGTCTTGCCCCGCGATAAGCGCTTACCTACAAACCCACAAAAGAGCTCCGAGGGACAATGATAAGAGGAGAACCCCAAACAATACCCTGCCGAGTTAACTCCAGGCCCATCCTGGGAGCCATCAACCCCTCTTCACATGCCCAGAGGAGCGTCGCGGCACAACAGCAGGCGGGAACCCAGATCAAGGGCTCCCGAGGAAAAACCACCCCTCCCAGGGCTATCCCAGCAGACCCGTCAGTCCCAGCGTCCGGGTGCGACGACCATCGCCACCGGGAGCAACTCTCCGGACTCGGGGCCCTGCTGCCTGGGGAGGCGGGAGCGGGAGCCCCGGAGCAGGGCTGCGGCCCGAGGAGCGGGAGGGGGCCCTGGCGGACTCAGCCGCCCCAAGAAGGAGACGGGGCGAGGTCTGCACTTACCCGTGTCCTCTCTGCTCAAGGCCCGTTCCAGCTGCCTCGCTTCCTTCTCGAGCGTGAGGGCGACGGCACGCAGCTTAACGAAGAAGTCCCTCGACACGTCCATCGCCCGCAGGGAGGGGGAGCGCCGGAGAGACAGCGCC